CGACTGGCGCCATTAATTTCGGCAGAAGGAGTGGAGCAACCACGATGAGGGTGACACATCATCGTGAACTATCCCACAGGAAATGGTGCGGCCGGTCTCCTTAATAACGACCGGTCCCCGATGGGTGTATGTTTACACGACGGATCCGGACGAGCGATATTTCCTTGCCAGCTACTACGATATCCCTTTGATCGACGATCGACCTGAGCGTAGCATCTAAAGGTGCGTTTAAACCAAGCGAACCGATGCTCGCAGCTTTGCCTCGTTTTAATAAAATTCAGTAAAATGATACTGTAAACGAGCATTCGTACGGAAATCGAACATCCGAATTCTCTGCAACAATGCATTTAATTATAATCTCTTCGCCGGATACCGTTGTTACGAATTCGACTGGAGACTGAACCGGGAATAACCGTTGAGCATTGTAAATTCTGCTCTGTCTAATCTCTACGGACGTTTGCTCGCGTACGTCGTCGTAAAGAAGCTCTTTCGGCGTAATTGAAATTGCTCGAAGAGCGTTTACATTAAGTGAAAGAACGCTCGCTTACGCTTTAATTTCATTAAAGCGAGCATTCGCGCGCTTGTCTAAACGCACCTTTACACATCTTTACCATGTGCAAGCTAGAGCCGTACGAATCGTACGAGCCAGTACGGATTCGTCCGATAGTGTTTTTCGTCGCGTCTTCCGACCAGCCGGAAATCATTAAATAATGTCACCGGACGACTTCCGTTGCCACTTACCGTAAGCGACCACACCGTTTAATATGCAGCCGACACGCCTTAATTACATCGCTACTCGCCTCTCTACTTGCCCGTACGCCCACGTCTCGACTTTTCCTTTACAACTTCAGCTCGCTACTAGTTTTCCATTACCATTTCAGCGTGCATCTATGGCCCGGTGTTTATATCAGTTGGCCGGATATCTTATTCGCGAGGCTCGTAAATTGAAAAGTAGAGAAAAGTTATGATATTATGCGTACGGAATATCTACTCTGTTGCAATGTATACGTAAATTTATTTGTTTATGGACACAACTAAGAAAACATGGATGCAGATAAGCTTAACAAAATCATCTGATAATACTGAAATTAAAGAAATTTCTATAAATTTTTGTATGTGAAGTAACAAGCTGCGTCGATTAACGCGTCGAAATTATACGATGTTATTTTTGAAAAAAAAAAAAAAGAAAGAACGACTCTTTCGCTTGACATTTCTCTATCTAATAACAATTTTCTAACAACTCTACCTAACAATTTCCTGCCTGTAACTTGAAATAATTATACGTTCCTCCTTCGATCTCCTGTACGTATTACACAACCAATTATATTTTCGTGTGTTACATCCGCCTTGCAGAACCATTCGAAATATTGCGTCTCTGTCAACGATAACTAATTAAAAAAAAAAAGAAAAAAGCAATTTTTCTCGTAAGGAAAATTCCATCGCGAGAGGATTAATAATCCAGACAGAATCGATTAAACTAATAACAATTTTCTAACAACTCTACCTAACAATTTCCTGCCTGTAACTTGAAATAATTATACGTTCCTCCTTCGATCTCCTGTACGTATTACACAACCAATTATATTTTCGTGTGTTACATCCGCCTTGCAGAACCATTCGAAATATTGCGTCTCTGTCAACGATAACTAATTAAAAAAAAAAAGAAAAAAGCAATTTTTCTCGTAAGGAAAATTCCATCGCGAGAGGATTAATAATCCAGACAGAATCGATTAAAAAGCTATAGGTACATCGCATCTGGATTCGCAATCAATTAAATACTTCCGCTTTCACGTAATAAAGCTCGAGTTCGTTAAACGGTACGTTATCTTAAATTATCTGGTATCAGGCTCGATAATCGTTGAGTCACGGCTCCTCGCACCTTCGCGGATACTCCACGATAATTGATACTCGGTAAACTACCGAAATCTCTAACGCCAGACGCGTATATTTCTCTATCGATTTATTACCAGCAACGATAGCAATCTGAATCGGCGAACAAAATTGTACGGTTCCGTTAAGTTCGAGACACGGCGACGTTTTATAACGTCGCTTACGATTTTAAAGTCATGGTAACGGGAACCATAAATAAATCTGGAACGCGTACGGGGTCGTAAATTTAGCATCCTTACGACGATGACGCGTGCAACTGTATAGGGGTTACAAAATATGTACATTTCCGTGGGAAACGATCCTTAGGGACGTCTGTGTACTTCAGCTTTTTTTTTATAGTGCGGTAATCAATAAAGTAGATTGATAAAATTCTACAAAAGCTGTTATTACGATTATGACAAAATCCGTGTATACGCTTCAAGCTTACGTATCTATGTATAATTATTGATAATCGTGGTAGTTTAGCATTGGGATAAACGAGCTGCTCAGGTGTCAGAAATGTAGAGAAGAATTTGTCGAACGTTGAAATTTTCTCAGAAATTCTTGCAATCTATCCTTATTTTTTTCGATGATTAGTTGCTCCGAATTTAAAGAATTCTCGACCTTAAAAGTATACCAACTCTGTTTTACCCTTTCCACGTTGTTCTAATGGAAAATAATGATAGAAACAAGGTGATATGTAAGAATAATACTAAATATTCAAAAAAATGCACAATATCAAAACTTACTAATTTTCATTATCACTGCCATACAAAAATATCCTAATTTTCTTTCGCTCGATGACACAAAGATCTTGGCCATTTCATATTTCTTCGACAGTAAATAGTTTAACAGGATTAGACTTGAAATATCGTTATTTCCTGCTACGTTCCTATTTCGCGCAATTTATTGGACTATGTTTTATCAACGCTATTTTTTTTTTTTTTTTTTTAATGATTGGTATAAAACACTATATCGTACTATACCAATATTCATAAAGTACGTTAATACGTACTTACGTAGAAACTTTGTTCGCATCATAGAGCATCGTAAATTCCGCAATAAATTCCACAAATCGATGCAAAACCGCTTATCGTATTTCGATTCGGGGGTGGCTCGAAACGAGTCATCGGCGGTCGAGTTTGTGGAAGTTGCCACGAAAGTTGCACGTGCGAACAGCTGAACAATTAGACGCGGAACGCGCTGCGAAACGATCCAGCGACGAAAGTCGATGAACGAGCCGTTAATGTTGTTTAACTGCTTGCAACATGCCAGCCGCTGACTGCAACTAATGAACGCTGACTGTCGGATATGCCTTGTTGTTTTGTCCTAACGACGTTGATTTATGTTGGCCGACAAATTCGAGCCTTTCCACGGTTAACTACAATGTATTCGACCGAACGTTGAAAATTTGTTTATCACCGTTTTTCCTAATCCGTTTGGAATTTGCGGCGAACGAAGGTGGAGCACGAGGGAATAAAACCGGGTTAAACGGGCCGTGGTGAAATTCGGTCGCGACGTTCGCTGACCTGAGCCTGCGACGAACGCTCCGACGTTGAAACTTATCGATCTCGTGGCACGAGCAGCGTCATCGTTAACTCTTCGAGTGCTACATCGCACGGTCGTCCTCTCTCCTACTTTGCGCCAACCGAAATCGCTGCTTTCGTCCACCAAATCGAGGCTGAACGAATATGGAGAAGCGGAGTTAACCCATTTAAAGGGTTTGTTCCAGTTTAGAATTTCGTTTTTCTTCTTTGCGGGGCAGGGTCTATTTTCCTCTCAAAGAGATTACAAGACTCTTTTACGTTGTCCTTCGCACGCAAGTTTGTTAACGTTTCAAGAATATTCACCATCTTGGAGAAGTGTGAAAAATCGAAATCAGAGGTAGACGCGCTTCCGACTGTTCGACTTATTTGAAATGAAGAAACAAACAGGCATTCTGATTGGTACAAATGTGTCTAAGACGTGAACCAGAATTTAGACAAAGTCTGGAAGTTTAAAAAAAACGCGTCGAAGATCCTGTTCGTCATTCTTCGATCGTCGTACGATAAAAAAGAAAAATCCGCGAAACACTCCACGATTCTTCTATCGAATAGCGAACGTTTCAAATCGACGCCACTCGCGTTACATTCTATTTCCGACAAGCGTATTTCTCAATTAAAGGAGGATCGTGTCGATGAAGTTGTCGATTGCGGCGGGATCATTGGTTCGCCGCAACGCGCGTTCTATTTCCTACACTTTCGGACCGCGCAGCTTTAAAGTAAGTAGGTCCGCGAGTGTCGGGTGAACGAATTTATGCCCGTAGTGCGTTGCAGTTCACGAGACACGTCGTCGCCGGCGCCGAACTATTTTCGACGGCGAGCAGCGGCGAATCCAGCACAGAGACGAGTCGCTCTTCGTATAATAACGCGAGCGAAATTATACGAAATTTCAGTTGGTCGTGGTCGATGAGCTTTCCGAAGGAATTCGAACTTCTCGAAGCGAGGTCGCGGTCGAGACGAACGAATTATATTTCGTTTGACAATCGTCCAACGTTTAATTAAAGGCATAACGTTCTTGATGAGCAGAAGGCTCGGGGATTACGTTCATTTCTCGAGAGACTGCGTTCCCTCCCTGGTTTCTGGATTTTATCTCGTTCGAAACTGCGCGCCGCATCTTAAATTCGAGCGAATACTTCTATCGAGAGAGAGAGAGAGAGAAAGAGAGAGAGAGAGGGAGAAGCAGTGCTGGAACATTGACTTTCTAAGTGTAGCTGCATCCCATTAAAACAATGTTCGTCGGTGTCATCGTATTCGTCATTGTTCCAAAGTGGAATACAACGCGAAATAACACGCGATTCTACGCGTAACTTACCCGTGAGGATAATTGCTCGCTTGATCTCCTATTTTCTGCACTGACTCTTTATCCGACTGAGAATAAGAAATTTTCCATCCGACAAACTAAAGTCGCTAATTACGACCCCACCACAAGTTCGTTTTATTCTTTTCTTCTTCTCTCTGTTCGTCTCTTGCAGCTGACTTAAGGAAATATTTATATTTGAAGGGATGAGAAATCGTTTTTTCTTATCGCATGCTCCAAAGCTGTGTTTCGTACTTTGAAACTATGTTCCTAAATTTGTACATTGAACTCGTCGAAATGATATGATCGCCAGGATTTCAAGTTATTGGTACGTACAACGAATCTGCAAATCTTTGTCCGAACCGAGCAATCTGTATAAAACGATAAACGATCGAAGCAAGTTTTCCGATCGAGTAATATACGAACCTTTCAGAAGCGGAAACTGGTCAACTCCTCTGTATATTAAATTTCTTAATTTCATTACACGAACGCTCGATCGATATTCAAGTTTCAAGAAACAAATTACTTACCGACGAATTATTTAGATGGCACAAGTAATGGTATACTGTAAGGTAAATTTCAGAAACACGTAGTTTAAAGCGAGAAGCTGAGGAGTGAACACGACGTCTTGAAAACTGGTTTTAACCCTAAAGACCGCGGCTCGTTTAAGAATGTCACGATTTTATTAAACGCCGCCGTGTCGAACGAAAGACAACTTGTCCGATCGCGGCCTGGCCGCCTGTTTGTAACGTCCATTGCTTCTACGTACTTACTTTTCAATTTATGCGATTGATCAATGTGACTTCTGAAACGCTTGATTGCTACGCACGATACGTTTTCTCGAGAGTGGGGTAAAAATCGGTCTGTTTGATTTGATAAAAGCTTGCAAGCGTAGTTTGTAGACGGACGTGAAGGGTCCGTGGCAATTGGCGATCGTTGGTGATCGTTGGTGATCGTCGGGACACGTGGCAAAGCACGCGAACGACGGAATGTGAACCGTTGGATGTAGCTAGTAGCGACAAAGACGTCTTGAACTCTATCTCGACGACATTCCACTGCGAGAATCGCTTACTGATTGTCTACTGTGTCGAGAGGCGATGAGTTGGATCGCGCGAGGTTTATTTCGCCAGATTATGAACGAAAAGGCCGTGTATACGATGGATGCGTATTCGGGCGAGCTAACCGGTCTGGCGAATGAAACGTCCGAAGATTGCAATGCGTAAGCTCGTAAAAATCTGTTATACCGTAATTCAAAAAAAAGTATTCGAACATCCTTCGAAACTCTTTGCGTATATATGGTGCAAAAGATCTTGAAATCGTATTAGCACCGCAACGAGACACGAGTATCCTGACCATGTTGGTAAAATTTGAAACGGATCTGAAAATGTGTTCGAGGGCAGATTGATAAGCTTCCGCAATGACGATGACGAAACAAATAAAGCAACATACAGCGGTGATTTCGGTAATTTCTCAATCGTACGAGATACTTGTTGGAAATAGGTTAAATGTTAGGTATATCGATTTAAATGCGATATTATTTTCTGTTAATTCGTTCTGATAATTGTCGAGAGAACTGGCGCCGCACAATTTACTGGACAGTGTTTTATGCGTTAATAATCTCTAGAATCGATGCTCCTTGCGTCACATTTATCTTACATTTCATTAATCTGTCAACCGAGCAAACTCATCGCTAGGATTACGAATCTGTCTGGTACGTTAACTCCGATTTGATTAATAGGTCAACTCTGCCACGTGAATTTTATGTACTTTGCCCTGGCAGTTGCAATGGACTTAAATATACCGTACCGTAACGTTTCATTTCTGCAAAATATTACACTCGGCCATTTTTTCCCGACGATGCGATCCAAGTCGTTGCTGAAAATTGTTTAGTCCATAACATTCATCTCGTCTTAATCGTTCTAATGAATTTAAAGATGACGCGATGACCACCATGACGATCGAAGCGTGTGTTAAAACACACATTATCTGGCGTTTATGAAAACCACTATATACAGATCGGATACTTTTCATCGCAGCATCTGTTCATAAAGCTCCATCAGCGCTCAACAATCGGAGCGATCTCTTTGTCAGGGTGAGGCGATTGCATTTCTCACGATTTCCCGCGATAATTTCGAGAATTGTAATCAATCGGGCTCGACCTCGCGGTCGACTGACGTATTAAACTCGTCTCGAGCGAACCGAGATGCTGATCGTTGACTGGCACCAATCGGGTCGGGTTCACGCTAGTCTCTTGGTTGGCCTCGGGAGCCCGCGGCCGGTTTAACGCGGAGAAACATCGCCGAGGAATTCAGATGACGCGTGATTCACTACATCTTCTAACCCTTTCACTCGGCACGTTGCTTTGGCACATAAAACGTAACGCAACTTTCGGCGACAAAGCCAGGCAACTTTTTTTTCTTAATTTTTCTCCGCGTTGTAATGTCCTCACCCTCTGTTGCATCCACAGTAATATCTCGCTCCGTGCATACAATGGCTACCAAAAATATTTGCGCATACCCTTACTTTCAAACGAAACGTTTTCTTTACTCTCGTCATTTCTCGAAACTATTTTCGTCAAGAGGAATTCTAACGAGTCACGCGTAACACATATAACAAACGCAACCGTCATAGCTATTTCACGCTGAAATAGAGTTCCGGCTACACAAGAGGCCAGATTCGTCTCGTGCCACAGCAAAAATGTAAGACAATATTTTAAACCCTAACAAGCGATTGCCATTCCACGTACCACCAATTGTTACGCTCTATTTTAATTATATTTGTCAATTTAATAACTTTAATCGTTAATACGTTCTATTAGAATTCCAGTTTTTTAACCAGAAATAAGATATACCTAAAACGAGTATGTACTTCGTGTTCTGGATTTGAAGTGATCGTCCGTTTATGACCTGGACAGCGCATCTGCGCTTTTTTTGGGGGGAAAATCCGAATTTCCTACCTCCCAAGTAAACTTTACGATGCGGACCTCATCAAGAGGCTATTTAACACCCTAAGGGCTCCTTGGGTCCGCTCTAAAATACACATCTGGTATCAATGTGCTCCATCAGAGAATATGTGCCCACGAGGGTACACAATTACAAGACTGGAAGGAATAGATTTTCCTCCCATAAAAAACATGGTAAGAAGGAAAGCCCGGGGAGGGAGAGTTAGTATATAAGGACCAAGCGAGGCTTCTTGAGAATTCTTATAACGATCTTCGTCAGAGCGTCATACTGTTCGTGTTACTAAACAGTGCAACTAAATTAACTAAACATAATATTATTCTGCATCTTAACTTGCTGGCGATTCTCTTGGTGTATATTAAAGAGTGAAAATAAATAAACTAAACGCACTGCTACTCCGCATCTTTAATTCACCTCCACCTTGAGCATTAATCTCGTTTATGGTACGCGATATCAACCGATCAGTTGCAACCCGACTGATGGCCAATTAGTCGAGAATTCGCAACTCTTCGATTTCTGATATTCGCAGCAACGTTCACATTCACCGAAAAGTGAACGAACTTTCTGACCCATCGATCCAGCCGTGGCAACAAATTTAACGAAACCCACCGATGAGATTATTCGTTGCGCAAACGAACTAACCCTCTCCGATTTTTCCTCGATACTCTATCAACTAATTAATTCGCTTCAGCGTAGGCTGGATTTTTCGCTTGGAAATATCGGCGAGTCTGCTCGTGGAAACGGATCGAAGTCGTTCGAACTGTTGGAATAATTTGTTTTTAATTCGATCGGTGGCTGTGGGGTCCAGAAAATATCAGAGTTCGATACAAGAAGGGGGGATGAGCGCGATTGTTCGTTGAACCGATCCCCTTTAAAGCTATTTTCACGCTGATGCATCTGGCCCGTGTAACTGCGTACGGATAAAGCTATACGATCCCACAGACCAGCGTGTTCCGTTTGCTCCGCGTATGTGTCAAGATAATCCACCCTCCGCTGACTCTCTGACTCCCCCTCGTCACAGATTCACGTCTATCTCTACAGGTTTCGCATCTTCTTGTCCGCTAAGTTAACTCTTTTTGTATCCAATTCGCGTGTCCGAAGAGACATTAATTTTCGCTCATCCGCCCACATCGAGGTATTAAATGGTCTTTCAGGTTGGAGGTGGAGGGGTCCGTCGGTTTCCGTGTTTACTTTAGAAACAAGGTATTAGGCTAGGAATTAGCCTTGGCAGACTGAAATCACCGTACATTACAGCAGGAATATACAGGCTTTTTCATTGTTAACAGATTCTATAATCTATAATCGGCGGAGCTAAGCGTCGGCATAGTCTACGATTAAAAGTAAGGGAAGAAAGTTATGTAAGCATAGATTCGTAAACGCTTTATCGAGTAGTTGGTAGAAAAGTACGAAAATTATAAATCACTGGTTTCTTATTTGATTCCATGTGACGACGATATCAATTTTGTACTTAGGAGAACGAACGACTCTACGAACAAGAATTTCAGTAAACATAGCCGATCGATCGAGAATCCAGTCGTTTATAACTTTGGTATTTTTGTTGTAACTTTCGGTAACAAGGCATTTCTGACTCCTGTGTTAATACAACGCTTGTTCGTTTTTCTTATTTTTAATTGTAAAATATGCTCATACCGCTTGGCGGTGTAAAAATGAAGCAGCCTGTATAATAAACGTCTGCAGGACAGCCACGCTTACATTCGCGTAACAACCGAGGGTTAACAGGATTTCGTACGACAGAATCATCTATCTTTCTCTCTCACTTTGTCCACCTTTCGCCCGCTCTTTTGTCTCTCTGTATCCTTACTGTGGTGGCTCTTTGTCCGGCTACTCGTTCTTTTCGTTTGCATCGTCGGAAGTACATACTTAACAGCGTTCGTGCGCTGTAATTTCGGCGAATCTGTGAAAATAAACGAGTCTCCCTTCGCGACCGAGATTTGTCTGGCATTTAGAATTTGCAAGATTGTTCCATAAAGTGTACATACGACACGAGACCCGCCCAACTTGACACACTTCGTTTCTCGTTCGCTACATCTTGACTTTTGTGTGAGATCACAACGCCAAGAATAATCAACCGACTACTTACGCAGAACGAGATACACATACGCCAGGAAGAAAGGGAATACCGCGAGTTTAGGAAACATTAGCAGCTTCAAACTCATGTAGCTTTTGCAGAGCATTTTGAAGCATTCGAGGGTGTTGATGACACATTCGTAAAACGAAAAGGAAGAAGGACGTATGTAGTTGGCTACAAAAGTATTCAAGTTGGCTATTTAGAACTTAGAACGAGAGTTATACTATGTACCAGGAAAGTTAAACTAAGATCTTAGAATAATTAAACAATTTTGACTGCCGCTATGATATTCGAAACCCACGTGTTTCTCCTCTTCCAGTTATTTTTCCGTGCGTGTTCAAAAAAGAGTACAATGTGATTTATAATCGTAGATAGCTTTAAGCTCGTTTTTCTAATCGATGTCGACTTTTCCCAGCGAATGATACTTGCTTCGATTATTGGCAGATAAACCGATATAATATCCTAACAATTTCGAAAGTAATTTAATATCGAGGCGTTGGTATATTTTATGGAAAATTATGAAACCGTAATTATAAGATTATACGAAATTATAAATAAATTTATTATCTTATTCTACAATGATGAAGATAAAATAGATTGAGAATACTCAGGTGGCCGGATACATTTATGGCCAACTGTAATTCCAAGAAGTCTGACACTACTAGAGAGCAAAGAAATCGACGAGCCTAGCGAACGAAGCGATTATAAATAGTATTACTAATATTACAAACGATAATTACGGAATGTCGGAGTGCAATCCATGAAAGAAATTGACATTTTCTGACCCATGAACCCAATGAGGGTGTGACACAAGGGTGGAGAGAAAAGTATAACGGCAATCACAGCGCGTCAAACGATGTACGCGCATCCTATACTGCGTACCTACTTAGGCTACGTCATCTATTTCAGTTATTTCTTATACCGTTTCCTATTTCGTGGAAAGTTATTTTATCCTCAAGTATTTTGCAATTCATCTTGTAGAATTACGCATCACGTTTTTACTGGCTCACATTTACTATTGCGAAATAAAATCATTTGTCACTAAACGAGTAAATGCAACGTACTTAGTTACAATGTGTAATAACGCGTTATTATTAGATTCTGCGATTCTGATCAGATTCCCAATTACAAAATTAAATACACTTGTTAGAGGTTTCACGTTGATAATTAAAAGGTGAGTATATAAGTAAAAGACAGATATATCGATCGATGGCGTTTAATTGATACGACGTTAATCGATTCTCGAAATATACGTGAAAAATAAAACGAAGAAATGAAACGTCAATCGAAGGTAATTAATTAATCAAACGTGTTTGGAAACTCTGGTCAAATAGGGCCAACCAGGGAAAGAAATTCCGAGGATCGAATAACGGACCTTTCGAACGCGTCCTCAAAAGGAGCGAACGTTTCAAACTGACCGATGCTCCTCTGCTTTTCAGGTATCGAATCGCTGATGCAATTGGCCATCGGTAATACCTTGCTCGAGAGGAATATACGAGAAATACAAATGCTGTTGGTGGAAGGGGTACAGCAAGGTACGTAACAGCATTAGTTAAGGTTACGAGAATTGAAACGGCAATTTCGAGTAGTTTCGAGAATTGAAAGAGCATATTCGAGACATATAGGGAGAGACAAAGAGCTTGAGATTTCATTCAGGCTGTAATTTGAATTTAGAATTGGTTGCTCGTTTATAGAATTAGGATATCCGATAATTTCGAAATTCCATTGTCGTTGTAACGGTATACGGCTGCCGTGATTGTATTGGTAAAATTTGGCACCGATCTGAAAAAGATATTTAATGCAAACAGCTTAAACATGTAATAAGCGTTAAAGATAGTTGCACTAAATATAATATATAATTGAGTATTTAAATACTATTCTGCAAGAATATCGTTTATATATTCCACAACCATACGACGATGAAACATGTGCGCGAAATAAAAATGTACGATATCATAAGGCAAATTTCTAAAAATTAAAAAAATTCAAGTTAACCATTTCAAAATATTTTATTCCATTTGAAAACATCATCCACTAAATCGTGCCACGAAGCATTAAGTACCAAGTACCGAAGATTAATATAAATCAAATGGAACTTGCCCGATCGAGATTAATACTTCAATTTTCGAGCTTGTTAATATCTACTCCACAAAGTATACCAAAATAGCGTGCTCTTTAACAAGACGCACCAATCTGCCTCGAGACAAGCCGCTAAAAGCTTCGGTCGATCGAAACCAAGCCGTATGAATCCTTGGAAGATTGGAATCTTCCTTAAAAACGATTACATGTATATCAAATATGGGACAAGAGCAAAGAAAAAAAAGAGAGGGAAAGATAAAGAGAAAAGGTGAAATCGTAACGGACAAGGATAAAAGGCGTATAGTTTCGTCGCATGGCAGCCGGTGAATTCGCGGTAAATGGTATCCTGTTCCGTGTCCGTATCGCCGTGCTAGAATACTCAATTTCCGGCGGAAGCGTCGGGGGAATTAACGCGGCGTGCCGAGTTTTGTATAATCGCGTTTTAATTTGATTGTCTTGAAGCGCGCCGCGTGCTTCCTGCGCACGCTTGCCAATTAGTATCTCAAGTTGTTACACTGTTCGAGTGTCTTCGATCTTGCGAACGTTTCGCACAATGTTGCCAATGATATATTTAAGCATGGCTGGAAAGTTGGTTAATGGGATGGCAGGAAGATAAGGGACACGGGAAGCTGAAGTAAGACGACGAAGTTGATCCTACGGACTTTCGGTCATTTTCGGACTAATTATATTTATCTAACGTTAAACGGAAAATACGAAGCGAGCCCTGTTGGTGTACGTGATTTCTCGATTCCATTTGCATTACAAATTCTGTTTGTTTGTTAAAATGAGAGAAAAATCAAAGTACGAAATCTCGATAACAGCATCGACGGGAAACGATGGAAATAATTGAAATATAGGTTAATTGACGGATGAACTAAAATAATAATATGCTTGTCAATGCGTGTCAGCGAAATCCTCTTACAGCAGACGGCAATTCTGCATTCTGATTTTATTGAAAGTTTGCCAGTTCGTTATCTCGATTCAACTCCGAAATAAAAATAGAAATTGCATGTCCTAATTAGCAAAAAAAAAATTAATAAATAACATCATAAAATCTGTGCATCTGTAAATTCTATAAATTGTACTATATTTTTGTATCTTTTAATTTTCGACAAACGTATAAACATCCGTAGTCTACCTATAAAAAAAAGTAAAAAGTTAAATATTAAAGGAAAATTTGCATTCTCCGATAAAAGTAGGTAGAAAGCCAGTGTCCTAATACTTATTTATGCAGTTAGCAAAGTAAAAGACCGATTTACGAGATACGGAGACGATATTAGAGATGTGACTACCGTTTCGCACAGTGTGCTCTATTTTAACATTTTGCCACACAAGATACGTCGGTTACATTATAAACCAGTCACTAACAGTCACTAGCAATGCTTCCATCAGCCAACTTTCCACCTACGATGTGAATACAAGACTATATGTATACGTTGAATTATGAGGCACGCGTGGCGAGAACAAATACAATTTAACGGGCGAAGGGTTGGAAGGAAGCGAAGAAAGCGAAGAAATGATCGGGTCACCGACCTGTGGTCGATTAAACGAGCCATCGAGAAAGAACGGAGGTAAAACTGTAGCGACGTGTCACGAGTCGATCGAAGGGAATAAACTCTCGTATCGAGAGGGAAAGTGCGAGCCGACGTCGCGTCGCGACG